CACACTTCAGGAGAAGATTCGTTATAATTTTCCTAACTAAAAACTTGGAAAATTACTTAGTGAAGTTTACAATTTGAGAAAATATAAATCCATTTGGTGTTGTTTTACTAGTATCTTCTAATTGTTATTTAAGATTGCAATTGATCAGTCTCTGTGATAGTGATATGTGTGAATCCTGTGCGAACTGCTTTGATATTGAATCAAATCACAAGTTTTGTAAGCAAAGATGTATAGTAGGGAGCAGTGGAATCCAAGACGCCCACTTCGTCATCAGCCGGATGTACCTGCATCTCAGTGTTGATGTTCACTCGGAGACTCGAACTCAGTACCGTTTACTTCACTTAGCTAATAAGTCCTGGTAAGGCTTACGACCTAAGGCAATGTCGAGGCAGTCGGCACACGATGCACATATGCCAATAACAGACTGATCAATTGCAAACCTAAACATTAATAGGAAGATTCAAGTAAACAACACCAAGTGAATTTGTAACGTTATCCCATTGCATAAGCAAAGTGTCTCTGAGGACTCCGTAGCTAAGTGGATAACGCGTTGGCGTTTGAAACGAACGGTACTGGGTTCGAGTTTCGGAGTGAACATCAACACTCAGATGCACGTTCATTCATCTGATGAGTCCTAAATAAGATGAAGTGCACGTCCTAGATTCCACTGCTATCCATCTTTGCTTATTGAGAAAATATAGTTTTGACTGAAAAGTAATCTTGATAATTCGATGAGGAGAAGAAGAAGGTTATTCAATTGTCGACTTAAAAGAATAATGTAACTATTGACGTTTGTGTTTTATGGTCAAGTAAATAAAATGAAAACTCCGAATCATTGACGTAATCATTTTTGCATTTAAATTCATAGGATCTAAGATGTGTATTTGGAAGGGAAAAAAATAAATGTATTCGAAATTCTATTATCTAAATACAATAAGAGAAACATATGTTAGTAAATACGTTTATCAACATATATGGAAGTTAAGTGTTCTTGCACGAGACTGATAAGTCCCTGGTTCGAATCTTGTGAGGTGGGATCGTGGATGTGCACTGTTGACGAGTTCCGTAATAGGACGAAACGGCTGTTCAATCCTTTTAGGTTTTTCTTGGTGATCTAGTTTCTGTTCACTCATGATCTAAACTATTAAAAATTACTAGAATATCCACAAAAACAATGGTTAAGTGATGAAGAGATATTAACAATCAATAATATTGAAAATCTACTGTACCTAGTTAGAAACAGGTTTAACCTAGAACTTGATTGAAATCAGTAACATATTAAGTATCACACAATAGGAATCATTTACTCTTAATGGTTGGTCAACACTATTTTTTTAGTAAAATGTTAATGCTGGTCCCATTTCACAGTTCAGCACTAACTAGTTAAATAGTTTTGATAAACTCAATAAAGGCAAGGCCTGGATTCCAATATTAGGCGCTATCCATCTTTGCTTAGAATGCTTCTGAATTATGGCAATACACAGTATGAACATATGCCAATAAGAGACTGATCAAATGTCATCCTAAACATCAATGGGAATATTCAAGTGAACAATGCCAAGTGAATTTCAACTTCACCCGATTGCACAAGTAAGTGGCTGTCAGGACTCAGTAGCTAAGTGGACAACGCGATGGCGTTTGAAGCGAACGGTACTGGGTTGGAGTACCAGACAGTCAACATCAATTGTGAGATGCAGGCACATGCAGTTGACCAGTGCCAAATAGGAGGAAACGCGCCTCCTGCATTCCACTGCTAACCACTATCCATGTTTGCTTAGAATGTTTGTAAATTAATGTGATATCGAGGCAATACGCACAGTATGCACATACGCCAATAACACACTGATCAAATGTTATCCTAAACTTCGATAATGTAATTAGAAGACGAAGATTGTCAGAACTATGTGATATATTAACGCAATACATTTCGAACAATCTGATCACACACATACTTGTTAAGGGCATTTATATATAAAAATAAAAGGTCAGCTAGACTGGAAACGGGGTAAGAGGAGATTAAGATAATGATAAGAAGACTCCCTGCACATACTATTAAAAGGTTACATGAACTTGTCAAACTTAAATGTAAAATTGTATCAGAACGCGTAAAACTAAACTTCTATAAATCTTGTTTGTCGAGTCACATAATCCTAAACATCAATGGGAGGATTCATACCACGTGAATTTAGATTATGTAATTACTTATATTGATTTCAAAGTCTATTGAAGTAATGAAAATAACGGTATATTTCGTGCAATTGTCAAAAATTCATTGAGGAGAAAACTTATCATAGAAACAATCCAATACAAACTTTTATGCATAAATAAATCATCCAGATCATAATTTATTTGAAAAAGGTTTATGTCAAGGCATTATAAATCCAAATTTACTTGGTGTTGTTTTACTTGAATCTTCCCATTGTTGTTTAGAACTGAAGATTGACGGGTTGAAATAGCCACCACCGCCACCATCGCCGCCACCGCAACCACCGTCACCACCACATGAAAATGAAATATAATCAATAAGATCAAGTGATGTGTGTGAAACTGATGATCGGTGAACTTGAGAATGATGAAGAAGAAATTGAAGATATGAACCTGACACTAAAAGACAACAACAACGACGGGAAAACATTGTAAGATGGTATTGACTACTAGTTCAATGAGCATGAAACATTGAGCGTTATATGGTGATGATAGAATGAGCGTTATGACGTGGTGCTTTATCGTTGAGAGTTCAGTTCAAATTGTTGAATTGTTTGCACGGATAATGTATGTGAGGCACTGAATTGTACTGCTTCTGAGTTCAAATGTCTGAGATTATGGATGATTTTGAAATGTTTATTCAATGTTTACTAGTGAGATTTCCAACGAACTTTTACGAAACTAATGGACATTCTATTCATAAGAATATCAATTGAGGGAAATTTCAAATTCGTCTACGACGTATTGTCAAGTGAATCCACAGACGACCGACAATTGATTTGTGTAGTGTGAAATTGAGTTGTTAGTTTTCTTCTGAAGGACGAATGTTTCATATGTATATCTTGTATATAAATGGGAAATGTAAATTGTAAGTCGAAGGGTCGTGTTCTCGAGACTGACCGCTGGATGTTAACTGGGGTGAGGTTGAGTGGTGATCTTTCATCGATTCCTTGAGGTGGATAATTATTTTATTCAAAGTGTAGATTGAAATTACCTAGTTCATTATGAAAATGATAAGTACACGGAATTAGATGATCAGTTTCTAATATTGTAAAACATAATATAATATAATAACACTTGAATATACAAGTAAAACTGAAAAGGGAAGCTCAAACAGCACCTTAGAATATGTACAAAATATGCGATTCACCTATTATTATTATTATTGCTATTATCAAGGAATGATATATAGTGGCTAGCAGTGAAATTCAGGACACACGTTTCGTCTTATTTAAGACTTGTCAGCTGGATGTACCTGCATCTCAGAGTTAATGTTCACAGATCAATTGCACACCTAAAAAACAATGGGAAGATACAAGCAAACAATACCAAGAGAATGAAACTTCACCGCATTGTACAAGCAGGTGGCTATCAAGACTCAGTAGCTGAGTGGATAACGCGATGACGTTTGAAGCAAAAGATACCGAGTTCGAGTCCTGGAGTGAACACCAACTCCGAGATGCAGGTACATCCATCTGACGAGTCTTAAATAAGACGAAACGCGTGTCCTGGATTCCACTGCTAGCTACTATCCATCTTTGTTTATCAAGTTTGTGGCTTGATGCAATATTGCGGCAGTCGGCAGACGATTCATATTCGCCAATAAGAGAGAGACTGATCAATTGCAGTCCTAAGCAATAATGGAAGATACAAGCAAACAATACCAAATGTATTATTATTATATTTACTTACATTCATTTCCTCTTCTTTCAACTAGATAACTTACAATCCTAATGAATAACAAATATCTTTTGAGTATACCTGTTATTCTCTTGTTACAAACTGTCATAATGATATAGTTTTTCACTTCCTATGTAGATTTTCATAAGGTTTTGTCTAAAGCATCCTAAACAACTCTTATGTCGAACTTAGTTCTTTTTCAAATTATTGACTAATCTATTTGAAATTATAAAACTTAATACAATTAATTTTGATAAGAATGTTTATTTACTTACGCCTGTTACTCTTCGTGAAGGAGCATAGGACGTCCACGACCAACCCAGTTTGTTTGAAACACATGATTTATATCGCGGAGGCTGAGATTGGTGTTCTGTACTTAACAAACAGGCAGGGCTAGTCTGAAAGAGGGACCGCAAAGACTCTAGACTGCTAGTACGACTTTTATGTGTCATTGATCAAGTCGATAAGTCACTGTTCTGTAATTGGCTTTGTCATTACGTTATATATAATAATAGGGCACAAGGCCACAAGGTATAACAGCATTGAAATTGTTTATTGTAAACTTTCAACCAAAAATACAATCATGGACTCATGAAGAATGATCCCAATGTTTTTGATATATCATATTATTATTATCAGAAGGGATTTTGTGGAGAGTTTCGTAGTTTTATAGTTGAATTCATGAGATAATCGTAGACGGTAGTTGAAGTTAGACATTAACACCGTCAGATACCGGCTCAGTGATCTAGAGGTGAAGTGTTCACACGCGAGACTGATAGGTCTTAGGTTCGAATGTCGTGAGACGAGATAGTAGGTGCGCACTACCAAGGAGGAGTCCTACAATAGGACGAAACAGCTTTCCAGTGCTTCCAGATTTTCAATGGTGGTCTAACATCAATCGATTCATGATCTCAATCAAAAACATATCTTTCTATTGAATTATACCATTGATTATAATGATATCGTCTAATATATTGATTATTTTTAAGGAAGCATAATTGAATAATACATCTAATGAATTCCTGTTGATCAATACTGGAATCATTCAAATACTTATCATTTAGAAATTTTGTAAATCTTCCTAGATCTTTATTGAATAGTTCTTTTGAAAGATTTCAACAAATCAATTCATGATTCAATATAGTAGTTAAAGTATTATTATTATCATCATCATATAGTTCATTATTAGTTAATTCTTTTGTAATGATATTCAACTGTGATGAATTTAATATTTTCCATGAAGTATGTTTAAAGAATTGAGTAGTTTTGTTTTTTCTAATCCAATTCATTTCATGAATTGATTCTTTGATTGATGATAATAATGAAAGTGGAGTATTGAAGTTCATTAGTTATACAATTGAAACAATCAGTATAGAATAATAATAATAATAATAATAATAATAATAATAATAATAATAATAAAAGGATAATTTGATAAGAATTCATTTCAAGATGGTGGAGATTTGTAGCTCAGGTGGATGATTTTGATGGAGTTTTGTTCTCTGAGCTGGATGGTTTGATCAGAGAACAAAACTCCATCAAAAGAATTCATTTCAATTTAACTATACAAATCACTAGGAATATTAATGAAAGTAATAGATCTTTATTTGTAAATATACTCGGTTTGTTGTTAAGGTTACTAATATTTACTTCCAACAAGTTGATTAATGATGATCATGATTTCAATCTCCTTTCTGATTGGTTCAATTTACTGATTCATTTATTTTTCCCAAATTTTTTTTCTTCAATTTATTGTCCAATGAGAATACTTACAAATACTTCTCCCCCCCCCTCAATATATATAAATATCAGGGGAGGGGGAGAGAGTACCTTATGTTAGATATTAAACTTACACGTAACCATATGAAATCATGCGCCAAGTTACATTTTATGTAACCTAAAAAATTCTCAAATTTTATCAAACTCAAAGTCGTTGTGATGATAGTAACTAATGAAATATATCTATCATCGAAAATCTATCATTTTACCTAATTCTTGATTAAACTGTTGTTGACAATTTCACCCAGTGTAATTGTTTTTAGAGCAAACTAAAACGTAATTTTTACTTTTAATAGTTGAAATCATGAGTCAATTGAAGCTAGACTAATGCAAGCACTGGACGAACGTTTCATCCTATTGTGGGACTCCTCCTTGGCAGTGCACATCCATGAACTCACCTCTTGGGATTCAAACCCGGGATCTATCAGTCTCACACATGAGAACTTAACCACCAGACCACTGAACCGGCATCCAACGGTATTGATGTCTAACTTCAACTAATCCACGAATTTGAGCGACACATCCACCACTGCATCAAAGAATTATTATCACACGACTGACCTGGTTGAAATCCACTGGTCACTGTTTCTCACTAGAACTCCAGGATATACATCTTGAAGGCAGTCACTAGTGAGCATATGTTGATTAGTATCAGAAGGGGTTTTATGTAGATTATAGTAATTTCAATTGTCGAGACCATGAGTGCTCGCGCGCGAGATCAGTAGGTCCTGGGTTCGAATCCTGCATGGAGGGGTCGTGAGTGAGCGCTACTGAGGAGTCCCACAATAGGACGAAACGACCGTCCAGTGCTTCGAGGTTTTCCATGGTGGTCTAGCTTCAGTTGACTCATGATCTCAGCATTTGTCATTATTTTTTGGAATTGACATATATTTGGTCCACCACAATTACGAGTGTTACTAACCAAAAGGTCTGTACTCTAAGTGATATATATACTGAAGGCATAGTCCTGCGTAATGTTAATATCGACAGTTAGTAATTATCCTGCTTCTAATCCATTTGATGGGGTCAATGAGAAAAGACTGTTGTCTTTCAGTGGTTCGTCAAAGATCCAAGGTGGTCATTTGATCTCATTATTTTTACGATTTCATTTGATTACCTAGTTTATTTCTACTTGTTAGCGTTCGTTGCTAAGTGCATATATTTAGGTGTGGAGAGTTCGAGTAGATCTATTCTTGTTTCCTCCATAACTTTTTACAGTATGTTTTGGTCTAATTGTTAGACTATTCTAGATTTTCGTTATCTCCGTATGTGTATGCTATCTCCTCCTGAGTTCGGTTTAGGTCATTCTATTGTTTTGTTACAGTTCAAGGTGTTTCTGGAAATCCACATTTTAATTTTTACAATGAGTATTTCATATTTTTCTGAAACTTTTAGGGTGGCAATCTTAATTTGTATCTTGGATTTCTAATGTAGCTAGTTTGGATTCTGGTTTGAATTTCAAACTCGGCCTCCTTTACATACTAATGTCTAGAAATATTTAAACGGTTTCTTTACTGTACAATTTGTTTGTTTGTTCCTTTAAACATTGCAGTTAGTAGTACTCCAGTCTTCTGAATGCGAGATGTAAGGTATAGAGAGTATTGAAAGGAAGATCACTTGTACAGACGAGCCTCTTAGTGTCTGACCCGACTCCATCGACCTTTGGCATTCAACTGAAAATATACATTTTCCCACTACCATATTAGAACATATAAACATTTCCAAGGATACTAGCTGCTTCTTCGCCTTACTCATATACCACCATCACAACATAGTTGAACCACTGTGTGGTAGTTCTAGGTGTCTCGATCAACTGCTATCTTGTTAATCACTTCAACTTCAACATACACGCACATCGATTTTCTTGCAAAAGCATGAATTGTGGATAAATTACTGGATCCGCGCGAATTTTCTCGGTAAGACGGTCAATTTTCAGCGTCATTCAGGTTTTATTCTCGTGTGGCATATATTCATTTGTCTCTGTTATTGCTCTCCTCCGAAACTTTCATCTTGTGTACTTTCTCCTTAGATCGTCTTACATTTTACTTTTTAGTCTATTGGGTAGCATGCACGGTATTAATGCTGCCACCAGAACCTACACTACAACTACGAGAATGATCAATAGAGGTGGAAATCTAAGTTCAGAAGTTAATAAAAACTCCGAAATTCCCGTTTTCAACAACAGGATTATGAGAAGCCTTAGGTAGAAACCAGATAAAGAACCGCAGGGCAATGTGTACAACACGGACCACTCAACTCAAACACCAAAATTTAATTTCCTACAAGATACTCAGAATCATACGCCTACACGGATCCCTACTTCTAATGATACTAGTAGGCGAAAGCAAAATGGGAGAAAAGAGCCTGCTTTGCTAGCTACTGGAGAGAAACAGTATGAAAATGATCACTGTGTCTCATGCTCGACATCTAAATGTAATTTTGGTGTTGGCTTGGTTCACCACCACTGTGAAATTGAAGTACCTAGGGAGTACTATGGCTTTACATCAGATCGCCCCTGTTCGTGGTTCTAGTACGTTTGTCCATAGTGTATTAAAAATTACACCAAAGGAATAAACAAAGGAAAAGCATAAGACCCTATTGGAACCAACTGTATCAAACCCCACAAGCGAATACAAATCTCCAAACACAGGCTCATTCAAACATGCAACTACAAGATCAGCAACCCTAGATCAAATATCTATGAGATCACCAATTGTCGCTAATACCCCAGTATCTGTCAACAGTAAAAAGCAGTGGATGGGCGTTGGGAGGAGAAACGACCAAAGAATAACACCCAAAACCCCAAAAATGAGAGAAAAATGTGTTGGACAAAACTCCCTGATAAGTTCTCTTCGCTAAGGGTAAATTCAGATTCAGTACACATTACAGAAGAAACTTTTCTGAGATCCCGCAAACCGTTGGTTAAGCGATTCGCTTAAGTCCGAATTAGATACGGCAAACTGTAGACTAAAAAGGATACCCCTAAAAGACCAGTGAACACCCAAGAACCAATCAGCATTATGGTTCACGGAGTGCCTGAGATAGAAGTTAGTGGCCGGAATGAAGCTCACGAACACGATATGAAACGGTGGCATTGTCTGTCACTCAGAATAGGCCTTCGAACCGCTACGATAATAAGGGTGTTCAGGCCACCTCCTCTGTAGTACCTCACTACCATTAGGTTTCCATGTCTGATGGCTGTGAACTTCCGAGACCGAGGGGACCTGAGACTCTTTAGGTCTGATTGGGCTCAATACCTAACCTCGAAGTCTGAAACGCTGTTGTGCATTTCCTCTTCAAAAAAGATATATTTAGGAACAAATACATAGATGAGGAACCAGGTTGATGAAAAAATCAAGGAATAAATCTTACGAAGATAGACTCCGGCACTTGGAATTGTTTTCTCCAAGGTATAAGAGAATAATACGTGATCTGATAATGGGACGCAACATATTAAATACGTCGAGTCGCCTGAATACAACAATCCCCGAAGAAGTGTGCATTAATGAGCGGGAACCCGGGAGCAACTTCAGTCTTTCTCAAAAAAAGATTATCGACATTATTGTTTGTGGATGACGGTAAAATCTGGAGAACAATAATAAGTGCGGCTGATCATCTAGATCTTCAAGCTGACTTAGAAGATTTAGTTAGATGGGCTCGAGAGTGGGGCTTAGAAATCAATGCTAGGAAGAGTGTGCTAATGCACATCGGTCACGGTAATAGTTACCGTTACACTATTGAGGGTAAACCTCTTCCATGCGTTCAAGAACATAAAGACTTAGGAGTAGTATTAAGTCATGATTTAAAAACAACTACGCATTGCAAAGCAGCCGCTGTCAAAGGTTTTCGTGCGTTATGGTCACTTCGCCGAGCGTTCAAATCTTTTGACGAGGAAATGTTTCAAATTTTATATCCCATATATGTAAGACCACATTTAGAGTACTGTATCCAAGCAGCTAACCCGTGTCTGGTAAAGGATACTAACTCCCTTGAACGTGTCCAGCGTGTGGGAACGAAATTAGTGAAGGGTCTTTCTAGACTCCCTTACGATGAGCGTTTAAAACGCCTAAATCTTTTCCCCTTGTCGTATCATAGGACACGAGGTGGCCTTATACTGGCATTTCGTATCTTTAATTATGATTTGGGTGTTAATATGTTTTATCTTTTTGCTCCCTCCAGCATTAATAATCTCCGAGGTCATAGCAAAAAGGTTCATAAACCACGATCTGATAAACTTAAAGTAGGGTCCCGTTTTTCTCATCGACAGTCAATCACAGGAACGCCTTACCCGAACAAGTGGTATAAGCCCCATCAGTGAATACTTTCAAGGAGAAGCTGGACCTTCATTGGAAAGCAGTGTGTCGGGATTAATACAGGTTCATCAACCTATTATCCTTATTACTGAAGACTGAAGACTGGATGTAGAATGCTCTCCTAGACGAAGTAAACAGAGCACCCTTAGAAGATAACTCCAAAAGAAGACTTGAGAAACGTATACACACTCATCACATGCTTCTTGAGATAGCTGTGCTTTATATATCTGTTGTTATTAACGAATGCCATCTACTTATTCTTAGCTCTCTTCTTACGTGCTACTCTTATACCTTTATTCAATTACATAGTCTGGATTGCTGGTCAGTCTGTCCTTCCTTTTGCTGCGTTAGTCGTCTTCTCTTTGCGCTTCTGAATTTGAACTTTTATTTACTATATATATATATATATATATATATATATATATATATATATATATATATATATATATATATATTCAAACTGCAACAATCAATCAAAGCTTATCACAAGTATCCGATATATTGATTATTTAAGGTCAACAGAGTGGTGGCGCTGCTTATGATGTCTGGTCCTTTCTCTCTTTTTTCAATGTAAAGCAGATAGCCTCCTTAACTTTGGAGACTATGTACATAAACTCAAAAATGGCAAACAACATTCCTCCTGGGTATCACGTTGAAGTTGTGGGGGACGCTAGATTTGTGGTACCTTTACGATACTCTAATTTAAAGCCCATTGGTTCTGGAGCTCAGGGCTTTGTTGTGTAAGTTAACCATTTAAATTAAATTCAATATCGGAGTATTATATTATGCTTCAACAATTGGGTCAATCGGCTTTACAATTTCTTTAGGTTTTTTAAGCACGAGGTGTGTTCTTAGTGAACTTACAATGTCTCGGAGATTTGAAAATAAAACTGATTCTTGGTACTACTCAGATTTTCAGGACTTATCGAAAAAATAAATAAATCAGGTCACGAAATTTCATTTTAAAGCAAATCAGTGGCAACTCAGTCGGGATTATGCATTTACATAGCTTCTGTTGGATCAGTTATTGTTGCATATCCTTGGTCAAACTGGGATTCGTGATGTGTCCTCATCCATCGATTATGTGGGTAATGCTTTGTTAGCAGCTCCGCATTTTTTTATCGAGTGGCACTAGGAAAACACATTTGTGAAGGCTTTACAGTCCTTTAACGCGACTGTACTGATTAGCCTCCACTTTCTCTGTAGGTCTGTTCCTCTATTTATGCCCTACTCCCTACATATAACCACCACTTGAAAATAAGCTATCAGGATACCCTTCGCAGTGAGTAGTCCGCAAAACTTTGTTGATTTATCTCTTACGTTCACATATCTGGTCGGTTGATCACTATGTCTATATTTTAAAGTTTTGTAGTGAAATTAAACCATAATAAGCATATCTTTCTTTACAGTTATTTGCTGTTTGTGATACTCATGGACAATCATCAATTAAATTGTGGTCTGAATGCTGCGTTTTTTCTTTGCTTAGAGTTCGAGTTGTTTATGTTTTGCTGGTATGGTTTCGTATGTAACTACACTGTCTAATCCGTTTTATAAAAAGATGATTATTTTATTATGTAGATAGCCCATCTAAGTATTTTCATTTCAAAGTTCAAACTGGTTCTCCATACGAATAAAATTGTGTACCATTGACAGAATTTATGCATCATGATCTTGATTTGTACATATTGCTTTTACATGGGATTCCGTCTGTGATTATGTTTGTTCACATGTAACAGCGCTATATTGTGATTTTTTGTTCCGATTCAATGAGTATTTCCTGGCTATCACTGACTTACTGCTCAACAGTCCTCTCTTTAATACTTTTCGGCTTTGAAATATAACTATAAGATAAATATATATGGCCTGCATGTTCCTAACCGTAGGCTTCTTTGAAGCATCGCTGACATCGTGAAACAGACGAATGTTAAGGTTAGGGGTATGTTACTAAAGAAATGTGGCAAATCTGTTAATTACGTTGCCAATATCCATCGATTGAGGTGGTCAAAACACGTGTTACGCACGCCTAACCACCAACTACCCAGACGGGTGTTTACTGGTGTAGGAGTAGGTTAGAATTTAGGTAGGGGCGTCCAAACACTTATTTATTTGAACATATAAGTATTGGTACAAGAGGGCACCAAATATATATGCGCCACACAAAACAACGAGGATTCGAAGAGAAAAAAGGGTAAGGAGCATAAAAAAACAATAGTGAACAGATTAGTGTAAGGTAGTGTTAAAGTAATAATGGAAGAAACGGAAAGGTACAATCAGAAGAAATCTTTCACCTTAAAAAGAAACAACCATCTTTTATGAAGAAAGTAAAAGAAGGTTACAGCAGGATCGCCACTGGCTTCTATTCTGAGTCATATCTGATAACGTCTCTAGCCACTGTGTTGCACCATCTCTAGGACCCCAACCAGGGAGTCGTGAACGACCAACATAAGCCAGCCCTTTGCGACTTTCACACCACCACACCATGTCAAACACTGACCACCTCTCCACCTCGCTTTTTTCAACCAGTCCCAACATCGGCAAATAATGCACGACGTGGAATTCTCTGGAACGCCATTCGTAGAACATGTCCAAGCCACCGAAATCGATGTTTCAAGATGGTGGCACCGATTGCATTATCGTCTCTGTGCCCGAACACACGATGCCGAACCTCTGCATTACTAACATGGTGTTGCCACTGGATGTCAGCAATCCTTCTGAGACAGTGATGATCGAACACAGAGAGTCGTCTAACGTCCTCAACTCGGAGAGGCCAGGTTTCACAAGCATAGAGCGTTGTCGATTCGACCTTTTACAGCCAGACTAACATCACGACGGTGCCAAAGATGGCCCAGATTGGCATTAGCCGCTCTGGCTTTCACTATACGTGCACTGATCTCATCACTCACACCACCACCAACACTTATGCAGCTACCCAGATACACGAACTTCTCGATTACTTCTATCTGCTCACCATCCAGGGTGAGTACAGGATTAGAATCCTGTCAGTCTTGTAGAAGTACTTTGCACTTCGAAGGTGCAAAGCACATACCATACCTACGGACACTGATTGCCAACTGATTAAGTGCGGATTGCATGCCTTGGGCATTATCGCACAGTAAAAAAAGATCGTCCGCATACTCAAAGTCGAGAAGTCTTTCTCCAGGCAGCAGATCCACACCTCCATTACTTACATCCATCAGAGCTGTTTCCAGAATGTCATCGATGACAAAGTTGAAGAGGAATGGTAAGATTGGGCAACCCTGTCTAACACCACTGCTCGAATGGAACAATGGAGAGAGGTGGTTCTATGCCCTCACTCAGCCTGAGGTATTTGTATATAGGTCTTTTAGGATGTTAATAAACTTCTCAGGCACACCCTTCCTCAATAGACAATCCCAGAGAACAGTCCTGTCCAACGAATCGAAGGCAACCCTGATATCAAGAAACACTACGATTGTTGGCCTTTGATAAGTATGACGGTGTTCTAACATTTGGCGGAGGGTGAAGATATGATCAATACATCCTCGACCGGAATGAAATCCTACCTGCTCCTTGCGAGTCAATCTTTCTCGGGCTTCTCGGTCCTTACACAAGCTTTCTCCGATTTCATTACGTAACGTCCTTCGTTTGTGGTCAAATTCACGGTCACCCGGAGTAGACCGACGGGCTTCGATGAGTTGTAAGAAGCCTGAAGCAACCCAGTGCTTATAAGCGGGACGTTTCGTGAAGCCGCAAGCAGCTTTACTCGCCATTTTCATGGCGTCATGTAGTGGCAACCAACTTGCTGTCATCAATCCTTTGGTGGCGGTCACTTCGCTGGCCACTGAAAAGTAAGGTAAGATTGGCGCAGACCAAGGCATGATCAGAGTCCAGATAGGTACTCCAAAATGAGCGGCAGTCTTGTACAGAACCACGCCAGCGGTAGCTGGTCGCGATGTGATCAATCTGAGTCCAGGCTTGAGATGCAGAGGGAGGACGCCAGGTGGCACATTGGCGATGACTGTGCTGGAAGTTAGTGCTAGCCAGAAACAGGCTGTGGTCTGTGCACAGTTCCAGTAGACGGTCCTCGTTATCTGTCCTACGACCAACGAGTCCCCATCTGCCACCTAAACGATTCTCTTCTGTGCCTAGACGCCCGACCTGAACATTCAAGTCTCCGGCTAGTACTACAATATCCAAACTAAGACATGGCATCAACCTATGAAGTCATTGGCAGTTAGTCTGAACTGTTTTGGGGGATGAAGGCTGCTTGATTGGGATTTGCGTGATTGTCTTAGTGGTTATAAATTTTGGGTGACATGGCTGAGAATCATTCACAATGTCTCGATTACATTCACTCTTGATATTAATCACAGTTATGAATTTCCGTATTTCTTAATACACACCTTTGTACTCTATGTCTGATCACTATTGCTATCAGACTTTCGCTGTTCTTGGTATTTTTGTCTCATCATTTTAATATGATTTGTCAACTTGTGCTAATGTACATTTGCGTTACATTGTGTATTGATGTCTGTTTGTCTGATGCTTGCAAAAACTAGTTTGTCAGTCTAAGACTGACGACAACCGGTTGACACGAGGAGAAAAGCTTGATAAATTAAGCTGTTTGAAAATTCCTGGTTGTGTTTATTGATTTGTTTAAACATAAATATTAGTACAAAAAGTTACCAATTATATTTGCGCTACACAAATCACTTGATATGTGTAAAAGCTGGAATACTGTCCAGGCACAATCTAAAGCACGTGGTTTTCTTAGGGCGCCACGCCCGGAGCCTACGACCTAAAGGTTTAGTCAACAAGGCAGTGGAGCAACGTCAGGAGATTCAGCCCCATGGTAGCTGGTGACCAACAATAGGTTCATACGCCTTTTGTTTACTCAGGATAAAACACATTTCGGTGTATCTTTAGGTTCTTCGACTAGGTGACCGAAATGCATTGTTGTACGTGCGATTTACCCAAATGAACCAGTGGATTTTAAGGTGTTATAAAGACCACAATAAAATGTTGCCTATAACTCGGTTCTCTGCTGAGTGCATAAAATACTAAAATGTCTGTTTTCACCCATCACTCGTATAATTTTTATTTTATCCAAGTTTATGTAACTGTTCCATTTGTCTTATTTTTAATTCTCACATAAACATTGATCTTATGTACTCCCTATTAAATAATGGATACAGCGATGGGTTAGTGATTAGAGCACTCAGTTTTTAATCAGTAATTTGCCTTTCCAAACTCCTCTCCATTTATTTCGATTTGCTAAAACTAACATTATCACAAGCCGTTACATCGATAGTATTCTTCAAAGCTACCGAGTACATAAATATGTACTTGGCAAATGAGTTACATTAAATCCGTTATATTGAAATGATCTTCTGTTTGCTTCCTCCTACAGAGCTGCCTATGATTCAGTACTCAAACAAGATGTTGCCATTAAAAAATTGGCTCGTCCTTTTCAAAATGTTACACATGCCAAACGTGCCTATCGTGAATTTGTTTTGATGAAACTGGTGAACCACAAAAATGTTAGTAATCTGTTTTCTTTTCAGTGCCAGCTTTATGGCCTACGCTTTACCTCTGTTTTTGTAGATTATCTTGTAATTTTGTTTAGCCACGTTGATCTGTTTTATTGTTCAATTACTAATCATTGATGATAATAAATTATTTTCGGATTTGGTTAGTAGACTTCACCGTACATCAGATTACATGAGGGATTCTTTATTGGATGAAGAAACTCAACTGAACTGCGAAATTTGATATACCTGCATCTTAGAGTTGAAGCTGACTCCATGACTCAAGCTCAATACCATTCGCTTCAAACACCGATGCATTATCCACTTAGCTAATAGACTCAGTTTCGTAATGCCCGATTCTACCTGTTCTATTATTCATCAGCGAAAATTCAGTGGATTAACATATCATTGTTCACACGACTGATTTCATATAGTTCACCAAAATATAAATAAGAATCATTTGGCTAAATACAAATAAAACCAATAGATTGTCAAAATAAATGTAACCCATTTATCGTGCACAAGTGTTTTGTGTTCAGCTTCTAGCTACATTTCAAATGTAAGGCTTATTCTATTCAATCAACTGGATGTTGTTGAGACCTATTAATGATTGTGATTTAAAACTTCCAGTAAGTTAATGTTATGTTGTCTGTCAATTGTTGTAGATAGATCGCTCATGAAGTTTAGGAAAGTCCAATCTTTTTAAAATGTCTTATCCACTGACTCATATTTCTTAGTAAGTGTTTAAGTGGTTGACTAGCCATCTTTCACATACCAAGTATGTGTTTTCATTTCAAATGGACACAACCAGAATGTATCACAAATTTCGTTTGTGTTCTTAGTTCCGTTATATTAACCTTAACTGAACTTGTTAAATTTGACTCTTTCTCTTTGTGTTCTTCTCCATACTATTAGTTCATCTAATTAACGGACCTAATTATTTTGTTACTAATAAGCGTTTGTTTGGTTATAGAAACAAAGAATACCTTCCGTTAATTTGTCATCGGAATATATCTACAGATTCAGTTGGTTTTGTGTTTGTATCACGTCATTTTATTCTTCAGTTGTTACAGTTTATCAATTTATCTAGATAGAATTCTGCTTGTTTTATCTTTTCAAAACTGAAGAAACTTTCTTTCACATTTCCATTGTTGATTATTTACTGACGATGTATGAAGAAATAACGTTCCAATCGATTACTGAATGTACAGTAGAGCTGTAGCTTGTTAATTAAAAATCCAGTCTAAACTTGTATCGTTTTTTTGTTTTTATCATTTAAGTAGTATGCATGATATTCACGCAGTAAATTTACTTCGAAAGTTGGTGCACAAATATATACCTAACTATTGATTTGCACTATGCAAAGAGATATGGTTAAGGAATTACAGATAATCAGCCTTCCAGGAATTAACAATGAGATAAAACAATCGTTATATTCCTTTTTCTATCTGTTCATCATTTTTGAATTAACTCATCAAAATAATAACCTCATAATTAATTAACTTATTGTTTCTTTGGAATTCCTATTTCCTCTATTATTTGGATGTTGTTCGGTGTGGATGTGGACCATCTATTAGGATAATTATATCTTTGTTAAGTTTATGTGTACTGCATATAATCTTTAAAAATTAATGTTTACACTTGTTTAATTTAAATTCATTGGCCTCTTAAAAAACAACCCGGACAAGGGTATATATTTGCTTTTTAAAAAAAATGGAAAATCATTGAATAGTTATTCCTAGTCAATTGTTTGTTTCACTGTAATAGGCATTAATTCAATGATTCTCCATGTATTAAATGTTTGTGATTGTTTTATCCTCGCGAATCCATTTGATAATTTAGTTTTTAATATCATCTGATATTAATCAAAATATGCTCACTAGTGACTGGCTTCAAGTGGTATATCCTGGAGTTCTAGTGAGAAGTAGTGACCAGTGGAGTTCAACCAGATCTGTTGTGAGATAGTAACTCACTGAAGACAATGGTGGATGCGTCGCTCAATTTCGTGGATTAGTTGAAGTTAGACATTAATACCGTTGGATGCCGGTAAGTCCAGTGGTCAAGTGCTCGCGCGCAAAACCAGTGGGTCCTGGGTTCGAATCTCGCAGGGGGCGAGGTCGTGGATGCGCACTGCTGAGGAGTCCCACAGTAGGACGAAACGGTCATACAGTTCTCCCAGGTTTTCCATGGTGGTCTAGCTTCAACTGACTCATGATCTTGACCAATGAAATTTAGTTTTTCACTATCTATTTGTTCCTTATTCCCAATGAAATGTTTCAATTAGTATGCTCTTCAGAATATTATTTCGAAACTCGATAAAAGCGAAATCCTTATATTAAATTAAGTCAGATCGTTAAAATGACTATGGAAAACTGGGAGGTGATTCATAGGAATTTAGAGGAGTGTTAAACAACTTATCACTGTACGGTTTCCAATTTCAAAACTATGTATTATGCATAAGCGTGAAAATCAGGAATACGAGTTATTTTTGAGTTGTTAGATGTATTACTTTTCATTTTTGATATGTAATCTTTTCGACACATAATTCTGATAAACTTCGTCTTCTCATTGCATTATCGAAATTTATCTAAGGAACTAATTGTTTTAGATAGTTTTTCATTTTTGATACTGCAATGATCCTGATACGTGTAACTTTACTTCAGTTTCTAAGTGATCCGTTGGATTTTGAAGAACATGCTGTATGATAGATTAAGACAGAATAAAAACGTTTTACAGTTCATAATTTTTTGGTGAGATAGTGAATCGTCATCATCTGTGTGTGGAAAATGTTATATTTTCCCGCTTACATCGAGAGGAAATGTTGTCTGATGTAGGATAGGGTTGGAGGAAAGCTAGGGGCGACCAAATCAAGACGTAGGACCAGTCCATGAAGTGACAGATAACTAAATTAATCCAGGTAAATAGGTATAGACTATCTGGTTGAGATTCGTCTGATTGTCGTAACTAATGGTTATAGACTTTGGGTGATCGTCTTGGACGATGGGCAGTGTTTTTCGAGGGGTAGTTCAACTGGTCTCTTGCCCCGACAACATCGATCAGACTTCCCTGCCCTCCATGGCCGGTGATGACTGATCCACCAAATGAGGCGGAAGTCCGCAAGGAACTCTAGCTCTTGAAGCGCTACAAATCACTAGGCCCAGATGACTTACCTCCGGTTCTTTTTAAAGATGGTGGTGACTTTCTGACTAAGGAATTGACGACGTTGTTTACAAAGGTTTGGGAACTAGAGAGTGTACCAACATTTTGGAATGAGTCGATAGTTGCCCTATCTTTAAAAAGGGTTCACGTCGTTCCTGTAACAACTATCTGAGGATAAGTCTACTTCCGATTGTGTCCAAGCTATTGGCTTCCGTCATACTTCGTAGGTTGTTCAAAACCCGAGAAAGACTGACCAGTGAGGAGCAGGCTGGTTTTCATTCCGGTCGAGGATGTATTGATCATATCTTCACCCTCCGCCAAATGTTAGAACACCGTCATACTTATCAAAGGCCAACAATCGTAGTGTTTCTTGATATCAGGGCTGCCTTCGATTCGTTGGATAGGACTGTTCTCTGGGATTGTCTATTGAGGAAGGGTGCACCTGAGAAGTTTATTAACATCCTAAAAGACCTATATACAAATACCTCAGGCTGAGTGAGGGCATAGAACCACCTCTCTCCATTGTTCCATTCGAGCAGTGGGGTTAGACAGGGTTGCCCAATCTCACCATTTCTCTTCAACTTTGTCATCGATGACATTCTGGAAACAGCTCTGATGGATGTAAGTAATGGAGGTGTGGATCTGCTGCCAGGAGAGACTTCTCAACCGTGAGTATGCGGACGATATTTTCTTACTGTGCGATAATGCCCAAGTCATGCAATCCACGCTTAATCAGTTGGCAATCAATACCGATCTTGGCCATCTTTTGCGCCTTCGTGATGTTAGTCTGGCTGTAAAAGGTCGAATCGACAACGCTCTATGCTTGTGAAACCTGGCCTCTCCGAGTTGAGGACGTTAGACGACTCTCTGTGTTCGATCATAACTGTCTCAGAAGGATTGCTGACATCCAGTGGCAACACCATGTTAGTAATGCAGAGGTTCGGCATCGTGTGTTCGGGCACAGAGACCGTAATGCAATTAGTGTCACCATCTTGAAACACCGACTTCGGTGGCTTGGACATGTTCTCCGAATGTCGTCCCAGAGAATTCCACGTCGTGCATTATTTGCCGATGCTGGGACTGGTTAAAAAAATCGGGTAAGTGGTCAGTGTTTGACATGGTGTGGTAGTGTGAAAGAAAGCTACAGAGGTCTGGCTTATGTTGGTCGTTCACGACTCCCTGGTTGGGGTCCGAGAGGTGGTGCAACACAGTGGCTAGAGACGTTATCAGTTATGACTCAGAATAGAAGCCAGTGGCGATCCTGTTGTAACTTCTTTTTACTTCCTCCATAAAATTGAAAGTAACTTTAACTGAAATAATTCTTTCTGGTTGTATTTTTCCCAATTAAGCTGTTTATCCCATTAGTATTATTATTTCACTCTAATACACTTATTTCTGTTCATTGTTGCTCGTCTTTTAATTATACTCAACCCCAATTCGCTGTTTCTTCACAACCTCATTGTTATTTTGCTACATATATGTATTTGCTACCCCTTGTACCAATATTTATGTGTTCAAATAAATAATTGGGTGATATGACTCGGAATCGTTCACAATAGCGTAGGTGTATTCACCCCTTATCTTTTAGAACGTTCAGAAGTCTCCCTGTACAGTTTTCCTTTCTCCGTATCTAATTTTTTTTTACCACTTTGGGATTTGTCTTGGAATAACTATCTCAAGTACATATATCAATTTCTATGTTGCATATTACTGATTCATTAGTCATTTTATATATAGGTGCAATATTTACTTGTCAATCTGTCTAAAGACTAAAATTCTCTGGCAAAATGAAATACTGGCTTCTTAGCTAATGTAAGTCAACTTGATCTACTACACAACCGTTACTTTTCAATGCGTTGGCAATATTAAAAGCGGAAGGTGTAAGCATTTTCAATATCTCACAGTACATACACTGTGTTTACTGTTGTATATTTGTAATCTCTTATCTCTCGATGATTGCTATATTTTTGTTTACTACTTCACATTAGATCATATCATTATTAAACGCATTTACTCCTCAACAAACATTGCAAGATTTTCAAGATGTTTATTTGGTGATGGAGTTTATGGATGCCAATTTGTGTCAGGTAATTAACTTTCTTTCTACAATTCATACTTTGACACTTCTACTTTGAATTCATAGATGTGTTAGGCATTTGATTGAGTCCAGTGATGCAATCCACTTTATCTATCCGTTTTATACATACATAACATAATTATTCATAATTTAGTAGATACTTTGGTATGATCCTTAAGACTGACAGTAGGCAAAGTGCATGTATAACTCAATTCAGATACACTTAACAACAGTGTATTCAAAGAAGACATGAAAATGTTTTAAAAAAATGATTTTGAAATTCTCATTAAGCAATAAATACACTTAAACTAATGTGGTTTTAATTTGTTATTTGTTTATCTCGAATCCTAGTTAAGAAGTATACATTAACAAATCATGACTCTTTTGACTAATTGTTCAAATTTAAGAGGTTCAGGATAAACTTTAACAGTCATATTCATTTGTTTATAAAACTGGTTGTCACAGTACATTTTAGAACCGATCCCATATATTGCACTCTCTTTTTCATTTCTAGAAGAGCTTCAATAGTTGAAATCATGAGCCAATTGAAGCTAGACCACCATGGAAAACCTGGAAGCACTGGACGTCTGTTTCGTCCTAGTATGGGACTCCTCAACAATGCGCATTCATGATCCCACCCCACGCTCGCGCGCGAGACTGATAGGTCCTGGGTTCGAATCTCGCGAGGCCAAATCGTGGATGCGCACTTCTAACGTTTCCCATATTAAAACGAAACGTCCATCCAGTGCTTTCAGGTTTCCAATGGTGGTCTAGGTTCAATTGACTCATGACTCCAACTATTGAAATCACTAAAATCTCCACAAAACCCCTTCTGATATAGAAAAGTTAAAGATCAATTAGCAGCAAAATGAAAGTTGATAATTAATGGATCATATTAAACAACACAGAGCAAAATATCAATAAATTAAACAGTATCTATCAGTGATTTCCACCATAACACAAACTATTTCTGTTCATATCAGTTAAATATAACAAAATAGAAATTTCATTAATACTCTAATTTGAATTATTATGGTTTGTAATGACACAGATACAAGAATCACTTCAAGAATGATTAACAAACATTAAACGTACACTTATTATTTGATCAGTTTCTTATTAGATCAATTATATTAATTTCTAACATCTCAATAATTTAAGTTAAAATATTTAACTTTATCTCAAATAAACGATTATCTGGTTAATATAGACATGATTCTCCATACAATGTTGTTAGAAATATTTACACATACCGAAATAATATATCACAAAGAAATGATTTTAATTTCAATAGTTGAGCTCATGAGTCAATTGAAACTAGATCACTATGAAGAACTTGGAAGCACTGGATGGTCGTTCCATCCTATTGTGAGACTCCTCAACAGTGCCCATCCACGATCCTGCCTCGCGAGATTCGAACCCAGGACCTATCGGTCTAAGATACAATATAGCTCCTAGTAAACGTATAACGTTAATCCAAACTTTACTATGTTTGCACTGTATACAGTCGATACATATTCTAGTTGTAATTCTAATGTGCATTGTAAGTGTCTTAAATAGTCTATGAATTAACCATTTTGTTCATGATCTGTGAATGTATGATCATTCTTCCTCATGTTATGAAGTTGTGTACGTTCTGAAATTATCATCCAATTAGTAATATGATTGTTTAATATACAATTTAGCACATTTCCCTTATTTTCAGGTGATCAATCTTGATTTAGATCATGAACGAACCTCATATCTACTGTATCAAGTCTTATGTGGTGTAAAACATTTACATGCAGCCGGTATAATCCATCGAGATTTAAAACCCAGTAATATTGTTGTAAAACATGATTGTAGTTTGAAAATTCTGGATTTCGGTTTGGCTCGTACAGCGGGAGATAGCTTTTTGATGACTCCATATGTTGTAACTCGGTATGAACATTAACATATTTTTGATTGCTCTATCAGTTATCGTTCTTCAGTGTTCATTATTAGCCAGTTCTAATGAATAAATATGCTTAACATTTTGACACTCTATACTTGACAGTTCTTATCAATAGACACTATCCGCATTTTCTAGGCTACTTGTTGAATTTAGCCAGTGTTATTCAATATTGTATTATTTCACTTAATCAGAAAACTATTCCATGTATAGTTGAAACCTTTTAAGACTCGACTATGTCCACTAAAAGACTTTACTATAGTAGCCAATATATATACCAATAAGGTACCGTTCATAGTTAGATCAAGTCGTTTCATCTACTGACATGCTTCCTCATTCTTGTTTATATATTGGAGATGAAGGTTGAGCAAGGCCATTGTTACTCAGGATCTCCTAATTTCGAAGCTCTTGTGAACCCGTGCTCTTGAGGAACTGACAAGTTAGATCTCTTTCTGTAGTTCCACAATGAGTAGATTCGTCAGCAGTAACGTTCACCGTCTACCTCGTATACATCAACGTAAACTTATGCTGATGCCTACATCACATTCCTCTCCAAATTTTTACGTTAATGTAACAAGGTTAATCAAATGAAATAGTTTTATTGCTTGGTAATAGTTATTAATTCTTGAAAGATAGTCGTCATACTTCAAACATCTGTGGTTCCTCGGTACAATATCACATCATATCATCTCATGTAAAAACTATAAATACACTAACGTTTCAATTATTGTGCTTCTCGCTTCCATCTAACCTTGTTATTTGGAATATAGTCTCTTTCCTATTCAACCGTGTTTGAGGATATGTCGAGTGAATTGGTGACCAAGAATAACAAGCAATAGGAATGGCTGGGTTGTAACAAGAGAGAATTATAACAGACCACAATACAGCTTTAAAAAAACCTATTTGGTTCAATGGACTTTTCAGATGGTAGAGAAGATTTGTAGCTCAGTTGGATTATTTTGATGGAGTTTTCTTCTCTTAGCTGGATGGTTTGTCTGTAGGGCTTTCATTGTTCTTCCGAGCGATGTCGTTCAGGATGGACTTTCCAATTTTAGTGTTTGTATACTGTTGTAAATTTGATATATTTATGTTTATAAACGTAAATTTTAGTTTTAAAATACTGGATTAAAACTTCTATAAAATTATTTCTTTTTATAGTTATTATCGTGCTCCAGAAGTTATTTTAGGTATGGGTTATTCTGAAAATGTAGATATTTGGTCAGTTGGTTGTATATTTGCTGAAATGGTTTTAGAAAGAATTCTATTCCCCGGTTATGATCATATTGATCAATGGACTAAAATTACCGAAGAACTTGGAACACCAGGACCAGAATTTATGAATCGTTTAGAATATGCTGTTCGTAATTATGTAATGTCACGTCCAAAAAATGAACCACGTTCATTTACTGAACTTTTTCCAGATGATCGTTTCCCTCCACCTAGCACCGTAAGTTATTTCAATTCTTTCTTTTTTTAACTTTTTATGTCTCAAAGCACTTTCCACATATTAGAAGCTATAATCGAATATGGTTGTTTTTCCATGCCTTTTGTATATTATATACATTAACAATTCTTATCATTTGTAAATTTTCAGTTAATTACTTACGCCTGTTACTCTCAATGGAGCATAGGCCGTCGACCAGTATTCTTCAACCCACTCTGTCCTGGGCCATTTTTGTAATTCTATTCAGTTTTTGTTCATTTTTCTCATGTCTATCTCCACTTCTCGGTGCAGTGTGTTCTTTCGTCTTCCTCTTTTCCTTTGGCCTTGAGGATTACAAGTGAGGGTTTGCATTGTGACGCAGTTGGGGGATTTCCTCAATGTATCTTATCCACTTCCACCGCTTCTTCTTGATTTCTTCCTCCCCTGTAATCTGGTTTGTTCTCTCCCACAGTAGGTTGTTGCTGGTAGTATCTGGCCAACAAATTTTCAGTGGTACTGATTATTTTACTTCTGTTCATTTTATTCATTCACAAGAACCTTGCATTATTTATCATGAAGCTGAATATTGAAATGTCCGTAAACCGGAGTTCCCTAGTATAATCTTTATTCATTTTCTTGTATCTTGAAAAATAAAAACTAACTACATATTTAGGTTCCTGGTTGGAGTAAAGTGAATTCTATTTACAAGCGATTGAGAATCTTTTGATACACACATTAAGAAATATGAACTCGAATATACCACGTGTTTCACACCCAATACTTCAACGATGATAATGGGCCATAATAGGCAAAAAACGAAGTGTTAAACGGATGTAATATAAATTTGATATGGTACAACTCAGTACATTTAGTAACGAATGGATAACCCTGAAACATATAGAAAATTAATAGACTATAATTAATGACAACCAATCGGGAGAATGTGATGAACTGGATTGAAACAAAAACACTCCCAGTTACCACTACTAGTAAGGCTTTAACATTAGTATAAATTGAGCGATCTCATAATTGCCTTATCATTTATATTGTTCCTTTTTTTCACAAAAGTTCATTCCTGGCTAACGCTTGCCTGATGTACTAATTTAGGATTTACTTAACATATGTGTTTTATGAAGAATATCTTACTTTCAAGTTCCCTAGATAATGTGATTACTAATTACTAACCATCTGGGTGATTCTATTGCAGTTTAACCGGGTCATTCAGGCTTGCAGTATGACTTGTGTTACACATATATATCATGTTTGCAGGAGATCCATATTGCCGTAAGTTTTATGATGCACCATACCAATACCAAATGTGCACATTTATTTATTTATTTAAACACATGGACAATGGTTCAAGGAGACACCAAATAGATATGCGCCACATAAATCATTCGATTCGTGTGAGGGTTGGGATACTGCACGGCTGCCCAGACTGAAACAAGTTGTTTTCTTAGGGAGTCACACTCTGAGCCTTCGACCCAAAAGGTCTGATCCACAAGGCAGTGAAGCAACGTCAGGAGATGCAGTCACATGGTAGCCGGTGATCAACAGTAGGTTCATACACCATTTGTTCCTTCAGTATCCTGGAACCCATGTACACCATTGGTTTGGAATGAGGGTTTTACAACTCCGCTTACTGGACTCTCCGTGTCCACCAGCCCAATTAAAGCTCCGGATGTCCACTTTTCGTCCTCTCAATTTCCTAAACAACGGTAATGCCGTGTAAAGGCAGTGAGTAGGATTTGTGTGTCAATGGTTGTATGCACGTAACCACTTGAGAACATTTCTAGAGGGAGAAGTGACTCTCCCCATCCTCGGCTGCACCAGGGTATTTGGGGGCACAAGTAACTGATGCTGAGACTATAATTTATGGACGACCTTTGGGCTACGCTGAAGTGACCCTGGGAATGTTCACTTACTAGGGCTAAATGATGGTTATAAAACAGTATGAAGAGTAAGAGTTATGATTTACAGTTGATGGTCAGGGTTAGTGTTATGACGGGTGTGACTGCAGGTTTTGATAAGTAGCGTTTATTGATCGATTCGGTGACACGTTAACACGGTCCTGCTTCCCTGCCTAGCCCAGTTAGTTGAGTCCAGAAGACAAGCTACAGCCTCGGAGATATGAATCATTATATTTCAAACATACTTTGTTTATATACCAATCAAGCACACCACATCGTACCATAAAATAGAAAACAACATTTTGTACAATATTTAACAAGTGAACAGATATCGACCAATAGGCAATGTCCATTTAAAGTCCAAGGACACCATTGGACTTAACATGATAATTATTGGTTTATTCCTCTGCATCCACAACACCTCCCCTTTTTTTTGAAGATCCGGAGTTGATATACGGATTTTGAAATTTTCTGGTTCATCCTCCCCCACGAAATAATGTTGGGTCCTCATATCCCCAAGTTAAAATTAATTTGACTTTATTTAACACATAATTGTCACATGGAACAGAGAAGTCACTAAAAGTGATTAAGTAGTGTGGACCAACGTCGCTTGATATGAGGTCATCAACGCTCGATTCTTCTGGAACATTATCATAGAATTCCTTGAAAATCTCATTTGTGAATAATTGATCACTGGGATAATTAACACCTATCAAAATTATATTAAACTTCTGATCATCGTTTGGTGCATTTAACACATTTCCTGGTACAACAGGATCTAGATAATAAGATTCATCAGAATCTCCTGTTGTTGACTGATGAGGAACGTTTGGAGCAGCCAGACTCAGTATACTGCACGATTTGTTTCCTGTTTCCTTGTGAGAGGGTACTGTAATTAATTTATGAGCATTTAATAAGAGATCTACTTCCTGTGAGCTGGGCACATCACTGTCTGTACACGTTTCAGGAACAGTGGGATTTGAACCCACGACAGGGAATGTTTCGGAATTTGACATTTCTGGACAACTGGGCGGATCATGAATAACTTTCTCGTTCACATCACTGATCGTCCGGGATTCACAGAGGCTTTTATAGGCAGCTTCATATGTTCTGCAGTTGTTTTCCAGATCAGTCTGCAGATTAGAAATGAACTTATCAACTTCTGTTGCATTTCCGAAACATGGAAAATTTACCAACAGTGTGCGTAAATTTCCTAAAAAATTCAACTGGCTATTTTTGAAGCACTGCTGTTGTTGCTCAAGTGGAAGCTGTAATTGGCCGGAAAAGGTAGTCATTTTTTTTTCTTTTCTGCACCAGCAATGAAAATTAACTGTAGGAATAATGACCAATGTTGCTCAAGGACGCTGATGACAATCTGGATGCTGATTGGTCGAAATAATTATGCTGAAACTCGTCCAATTAGAGGGTTCAAAATTTTCTCTACCCCGTCGCCAATTGTTATAACGTGGAAAATGATGCTGCTGAAGGGATAGCGAATTATTGACCGGACCAAAGACGCACAAACACGTAGAACGACCTAGGGTTCTGATTGGTCTCGCTCCCCTGTCTAACCCAGCCAATTGAGTCCAGAACGAAAGTCTCAGCCTCGGAGATATGAATCATTATATTTCAAACATACTTTGTTTATATACCAATCAAGCACACCACATCGTACCATAAAATAGAAAACAACATTTTGTACAATATTTAACAAGTGAACAGATATCGACCAATAGGCAATGTCCATTTAAAGTCCAAGGACACCATTGGACTTAACATGATAATTATTGGTTTATTCCTCTGCATCCACAACAGTTAGGAATTAGATTTATGGTTTTCATCACGAACTGACATCAGTTAAAATGCCAGGACGAAGATCAGACAGTTGGATGAGTGAATTTCGCACCAAAATCCGAGACCTGTCATCCTAAATCTGATTGGTTCGTCCATAAATTATAGTCTCGGCTAACTGATTACTTGATTTTTGACTATGATTATCTGTCACCTCATTCGTAGTACGACGTTTCAAAGATTGCTTTCTTACCTGAAGACTTTTTCAGTGGTTAATCTACCATGCAGAAATCCTGAAATTTGTTTGTCACTTAAATGTAAAGTGTTTTTAGGACTGGCTCTGTATCGATTGTTTGATTTTACACTTATGATTCACTGTCCGTTAGTTGAGTTGTAAAAATATTTATAATTGTGAAGCTTCATCTTTTAGTGTGACCCAATGTTTAGTGATTAACTAATATCACATTGTCCCCAAATGCCCTGGTATGGTCACGCATATACAGCCACTCATAGGGAAGTCCTACTCACTGCCTTCTCGCGGAATTACTGTTGTTTAACAAGTTGAGAGGACCAAAAGCGAATGTCCAGCTCTTAGAGCGGGTTGATGGACACGGAGAGTCCACCAAGGAGATCTGGAGAACCATCATTCCAAACCATTGGTGTACATGAGATGGAACCCATGATCCTGAAGGAACAAAAGGCTTATAAACCAATCGTTGGTCATCAGGCACTATGGGACTGAATCTCCTTACGTTGCTCCACTGCCTTGTCAATCATACCTTTAGTTCGAAGGCTTCGGTTCGGGCACCCGGGCAGTATCCTAGCCCTCATACAAGCTGAATGATCTATGTGGTGTATATCTATCTAGTGCCTCCTTCTACCAATGTTTATGTGTTTAAGTAAATAAATGTCACATTACCATCAAGCTAATTGAATGAATTAGTTCGTTATACCTCTTAACTGTTTAGTACAACATACAATTTACTTTATCTTTAATTCCTTTGCCAATTATCTAAATAAATTTTATCTACCAAAGTTAACTGTCAATAAGATACAAAGTAGCCCACGTAATCCAATTTAACACAATTGACGGTTCTACGTAGACTTTTTCTTTTCTATCTAATGAAGAACTAAAATGTTTTCTACTGTAGTAACATAAAATTGAGTTCATAGCGAAAGAAAAAGGCTAAAGGCAACGATGGAAAATGTCTGAGAAACGAAAATAATAAGACATTAATTAAAGCGAACAAAATAACTATGAATAATTTGACATAAATAACAAATAGATCAAAAGGCAAATAATAACTTTAATGGAATGCTTATTTGAGTGTGTAGATCCAGTATAAGCGGTGTATCTATTCAATTTACTACAATGACCGTATACTATTAAATGTGGTAGCTAAAGTTTGAGAATAATGACCATTAATTGAAAAGTAGATATTAGAAAATACAGAACGAATAAAACCCAAAAATACAAATTTAAAAGATAAAGAAGAATTACAATTATGGTGTATGCCACTTACGTCGACAGATATAAGCAGTATGTGACATCGATCAGAAGTGGAATGCTTGTAAAAAGAAGGTTTAGAAGACTGAACTTTTAAAAGTTGTCTTTTGTATAGAACTAAGAAATTTGAAGGTAATTTCCCATCATAAATCACAGAAAACTGTAGTGTAATAAACAATCATTTTATATTACAATAGTTGAAATTATGAGTCATTTGAAGCTAGACCATCATGGAAAACCTGAAAGCACTGGACGGCCGTTTCATCCTAGTATGGGACTCCTCATCAGTGTGCATCCACGATCCTGCCTCCCTCGCGAGATTCGAACCCATTTTATATTAGTTTAAGAATCGTCAGTTAGATATGGATTTATACATATATGATGCAGCCTTCTATTATTATTTCGTGTAACCCATTATAAATGAAATCAAAATAGTATGCTGGAAATCTGGCCAGAAACACTGTACTGCACCTCTAACCGATTTCAACGTAAAGATGAATGCTCAAGAAATTTATTGGATGGTTCCTGCTTGAAATCCCTAATTATCAAACATTGAAATTTTACCCTAAAATAAAAGAATAACGTGTTATCGCACTAAGGGGTCTCGTATTTATTTATTTTCGGAACTCAAACACACATATGAAAAAACTATCGAATAATTCCTGGTTTTTAGCGACTCTTCTGAGTATTACTTGCTTACGCCTTCTAGTCCTCGTGGAGGTACATGGGCCACCCATCACCACTCTCCATCCAATCCTTTCCAGTTGTTATTCATCCTTTTCATATCTGCTTTTTATCGATTTAATGTGTTCTTTGGTCTTTTGAGAATACCACATTCAAATAAACTGAATATCCATATCACCTTTCTGTAGATAATATTAACAAGTAGATACTTGTTTCTTCACTTATTAAGATATTTGCTAAGACTGCTCATGATTTCACTTGATCTGTGAAGTTGCCAATGAAAGCATCAGTTTTGCAAGTTTAGTTTGTGGTTCGTCTTATTTACTCTTTATGGTTTTTTCCTCTTTCTTTCTATATTTTGATAGGATCATGAAACACTAAACGCTGACCAAGCTCGAGATTTATTAAGTAGAATGTTAGTAATTGATCCATTACAAAGAATTTCAGTTGATGATGCTCTTCATCACCCATATATACACGTATGGTACGAAGACTCTGAAGTAAACGCGGTACGTTAGTTGATATATGGAAATTTAGTTTCCAAAGAGTTTTATAAACATATATATTTCTGACTCTAGGTATTAATATGTTTAATCTTCACCAGGAATAACGGTTCACCGAATGAACCTGACCTAAATCATTTTAAAAAAAGAATTTTTGTTTATATTTCATTAATTTATCTAAGGTGTTTTCGAATTAATAAATTTATCAGGCACTCCTCTTTAAGTAAAAATTCCAGAGCATAATCCCGTTCAGTGAGTCGACAGCAGTTTTCGAATCAAAATATACAACGACTGTTCGTTTTGAGTACATCTTATGATATTCAAGCACTGAATATAAGGTGAAGATATGTTCAGGGTTTTGGATACATGAAAACAATTGAAAATTTTTAGATGCTCCTACTACTTTCACTGTAGTGAGGAATCCTGACTTTCAGCTTTTCTAATCTTCACGTACTCTTCGTAAAAATTTTCCGTTATATAGTTTGCACACATTGACGTACTTCCAATCTATCGTGTTAAATCGATGAACGTCAAAAGATTGGTTGGAGTCCTTGCAACCTGATTTTTTATGAATTTAACCTTTGACTTTTATCGTATTTCGTGAATGCAACTAATGTTCATATATATTTATTAGTGGGGTAAGAACTAATGATGATAATAATAGTGATCCCTTTATTCAATACTTTATTGAACTTTATTGGTTTAAAATTAGATTCATTAGCGATGATGTTAGACTATGACACTTAGCATATGGCAATGACGTCAGCTCTGTTAAACACAAGTGGATTATACTGTCTAAACCGACAGATGATGACTTTACATCGCTGCTCCTGAAATTCCTAAGCACGTCTATGCGATATTACATAAGTTAGTAGCGAAAATCTCCAGGTTCTCAGTCTGGCTTTTTTTGTGCAGTCTGCCTCTGAAAGTGAAGGTAGAAAAACTGATGATAATAATATAGTTGGTCTGAGAATAGTTGTGCCAGATATGATCACTGACATATCAGCAAAAAATAACGTTTGTTGATTTAAAGTCTACTCATAACGGAACTTCCATAAGAGACATCTTCAATCCTTAACTTCAGCAGAATACTGAAATGTAAATAGCAGTTAATAGAACTTCTCTGAAAGAGGTTGTAAATCATCTTATTATTACTATTAATACTAATCTTGTGTTGTATATCCACACTATCTGTTTTGAACACAATTTATCTATTATTTTCGTTTTTCTTTTACTTTTAGCCACCGCCAGCTCCATATGATGATTCACTTAGTGAAAGAAATTTATCAGTTGAAGAATGGAAAGCGCGTATATTTCATGAAGTAAAAGAATTCGAAGCTAAGGAATCTCATATACGTAATGTTCAAAATTAAATGATCTTTGAAACAAATGGATCACATGTGTATATACACATGCATTTATAAGACAAAATATTAAAAGACAGAGAGAAAGAAAAGTGTTCTACATAGAAGATTGAATAAACGAACATTATAAATGGTTATTAAGCTATCAACAACAAACCTACAGATTATTCCCAGCTTTCTTTTCTTTAAAAAAACACAACTTTATTAACTGGAAACTGTGAATAGGTGTAGTGATGATGATGATGGTGGTGGTGGTGGCGGTAGTGATGGTAGTGATACAGTGAAACTTTTGATTGTTTTCTTGTTTTTATATCACTATTATTATTTTTTATTGTTTAACCTCTTGTAAATCTATTGGCTACCAGCTATTATTATTGTTATTATTGTTTTGTATAAAATAAAGAATAGAGATAGTCGTCTATACATAGAATTATTTATCATTATTATTCCAAGTGTGCATAGGATGATTCGCTTGTGTTATCCTTTGATTATGTACTGTATAGGAAGTGAATGTTCCGTTGAATGTACACATACACACATACATATGATGTAACTCGAATGGATTATGTTTATTTTTTTTTAAGTTTATCGTTGTTTAATTTGTTTTTACATTTCCCCCTTTATTAATTCTTTTCTTTAAAATGAAATTTAGTTTCCATATATGTTTATGTATATGTGTGTGGTTGGTAATTTTTGTTTTCTTTCTCCCTATGTTATTACGTAACTTTAGTGTTAATATGCACACACACACACACAGACATCCACAAACACAAACATGCTTATTTTTCATTTATTCATCAACTACTTTTCTATGTTTATTTTGTGATATAACCTTTCATTGTAGAGGATTCAATGAATTCATTTATTATGTCATTTATATTATTATTCAATTAAATAAATATAGGTATAACCTTTTAAACGTAATCACTATTCCCGGTATAAGATAATCATAATCACAAATGCTTGATTGTTTGTTTGTTGTTGTTTTTGACATCCATTTCTATATTTATACATGGTTTTATTATTGTTTCAAAGAAAAAGAAAAAAAGAGAGAAGCATTTTCTTTTCTCTCTTCTTTCTTTCTTTCTTTTTTTTCGAAAAAGAAGAACAAACAAACAATATTTTATTCACTCACTAGTACAATTGTCCATCACCGCAAATGCCTATTCCATTATGTGTTTTGATTTTTGAAATAAAAATCAATAAACAACAACATCCCTTTGAAACTTATTTTACTATATTGTTGAATCTACTACTCATATTATATATATATATATATCATTCAAACGACTAGTTTGCTTATGCTTATCACTTTTAAACAGCATGAAGTCATTTTTATTTGTTTGTTTAACCGGTAAACAAAACAAAGAGAAAATAGAATCGGGACACAATTGTTTGTTGTTTTTCAATATTCTCGATAGTGTGTATTTATTAGTTTATATTTATCTTTTTTTATCAGAATTTTATTTCTGTTGTTAGGGTATATTACTTTTATTAATAAAACAAAACAACCTCTGTTCAAAATGTTGTTTGGTTTTGCTCTATTTGCTGAATGCCTTCTGGATATCAATCACTAATTTGTTATGAATCATAATTTAATGATCTTGTAAGTATATTGTAAAAATATATATAGATATGGATCATTTTAGATTATTATGTGTTGATTTCATTTGAATTCTCTTAGTTGTTTATCATTAACACAATCAAATAATGGTTAATTATAAGTTTTTCTTATTCTGTCTTTAAAAAAAATTTGTGTTTGTTCAATTGATTGAACAGTTGATAGTTTCTTTTCTTATTTATTTGAATCAGTTTAGCTTATTCTTTCTAGTTAAAATTGTGGATTTATTGAACTTCAGCTATTTGAAGTGTTTCTATCAATCATTGAGTAGAGAAATCGATTGGAAAATCTGTTTTACCATATCGATCCTTATTCATTATATTCCTTGATTCATTTAATATTGTCAAATGGTCAAATATTGGCCTAGTACCATATATTTAGATTTGATAGTCATTGTATCACGGAAACAGTCTATATGTCGATTGTTTATTTATTTGAACACATAAACATTGGTAAAAGAAGGCACCAGATACATATGTGCCACACAAATCTCATTTGATTTGTGTCAGGGCTAGGATACTACCTGGGTGCCCGAACTGGAGCAGGTGGTTTCGTTAGGGGGCCACACCCGAAGTCTTCGAACTAAAGGTATGATCCACAAGGCAGTGGAGCAACGTAAGGAGATTCAGTCCCATAGTGCCTGATGACCAACGATTGGTTTATAAGCCTTTTGTTCCTTCAGGATCATGGGTTCCATCTCATGTACACCAATGGTTTGGAATGATGGTTCTCCAGATCTCCTTGGTGGACTCTCCGTGTCCATCAACCCGCTCTAAGAGCTGGACATTCGCTTTTGGTCCTCTCAACTTGTTAAACAACAGTAATTCCGCGAGAAGGCAGTGAGTAGGACTTCCCTATGAGTGGCTGTATATGCGTGACCATGTGAGAGCATTTGGAGAGGGAGAGGTGACTCTCCACTTTTGACCATACCAGGGCATTTGGGGACAATGTGATATTAATTAATCACTAAACATTGGGTCACACTAAAAGATGAAGCTTCACAATTATAAATATTTTTACAACTCAACTAACGGATAGTGAATCATAAGTGTAAAATTAAGCAATCGATGCAGAGTCAGTCCTAAAAACACTTTACATTTAGGTGACAAACAAATTTCAGAATTTTTGCATGGTAGATTAATCACCGATAAAGTCTTTAGGTAAGAAAGCAATCTTGACCTTTTCAGAAGCGATCAGTTAAAATGTTCGATGATTGTCCTAAAGGCTTGTTCCTGTCGGTTGTGGGGATGTGGGTCTGGTATGAATTGGGGTTCATTAGTTATCTTAAACGGGTTTTTATGGACACTGTCAATGTTTGTAAATAGACAGATCCATTATGTATCTGAAAATCATCAGTTTTTGTGCGAAAATAGTATGCTGTGTAGTGTGACACGAAACACAGAGAGTGCGAAGCAGTTTTAGAAAGATTTGAACTTCATAACTGAACAGCCTGACGCTTAGCTTGTTTTATTTAGTGCCGTCACGTGTATATTTTTCATCCGATATTAAGTGGATATGCACTTTGATAATTGTTTAATCAAAAGCGTAGCAGCGGCTTCGAGAAAGGTTTCGTCGAGATCCAATTGGCGAGAGAGTATAGTGATATGCGAATTCCTAAATCGAATAGTTCTGTAAGCTTTCGATATTCTTGATGTTGTTATTAGTTCTACTCAGCTTGGAGTATCTTGTTTGAACATATACACCAGATTATGACTTGATATATTATGCTACCTCTTCCTCGCAATAACCAGTCAGCCTGGGTCCATACACTTCTCGATTCACTGACCATCTTCCAGATACTTCTTCATTCCTAAATCCTGTTTCGACTGGGTTTAAGATCATCAACTAACAAGATGTTATAGATAAAGGCCTTTCGACGTTCAAAACTCACTGTTCTCGAGATAGAAAATTACTCACTTTAAGAAGCCACCATAGTGAATCTCTGGCTCAACGCATTGTAACAGCTCATTTGGTTGATATATTCAGAGGGACGTGAAATGAAATTAGTTTCGAACCGCGGGGACCAGTACGGAAAGATTAGTCTCTGACCTTAAAATAAAATATTTCATGGATGAACAAACGCAGCAGGAATCCGTTTTTGGATACTTTTCCTTCTTCCATACGAACAAGTTTAGTCTTCACAAGAATTAAAGGGAGGTTGGTTAGACACTAATAATCAATGAAGTATTCAAGTGAGAATCTCGTTTTAATAGTCCAGTTTCTTATTTGACGAGTCCGCGATTGATTGTGTGGCCATTCGTTCGGATAGAGTGGTTCAGTATTTAGTCATTTGATGGCAGGGTTTAATATGCGGAAATTTGCAGCTACGGTTTTCAAACCCCTCTAAAGGAACTTGGAGGTTAATAGTCCAAAAACTATGAAAAATTTAGAACATACGTGTTGTCATTTAAAAATTCCAGTGACAATATGAGATCTCATTGCACTCTTCCACAAGATAAGAGAAAAGGATTAAACGGAATACACCCATTATCACATTAAATAAGAAAGAAAGATTAGTTCAGCGAAGAGTTCTCTTTTCGGCGAATTCATTTTCAAAGCTGTACAATCGCAAATATATATACTTATTTTTACAGGGTGATAATAATACTGATAATAAACTTATGTTATACATGGTGACAGTAAGGTTAAATAAACAAAGGTATTAGAAAAATTTTTTTAAAACAAGGAAAGTTTGATAAGTAATGGCTTAGATATTCATCGGGTAAGGGTGGCTCAGCATGATAAAATAACATAAAATGTTGAAACAGAGATGAAATATAATCGGAATGATCGTGGAAATAAAAACAAACCGGTTGGGGGTACAAGATTTGAAGGGAAGATGGAAGGTGAAGCAGGTGGCTGTAAAAGAACAAGAGTAATGAGAAAGAGAAAATTTTTTTTTAATACATTAAGACCATGGTAAAAGAAGAGGTTGTACCAGTCTCTTTTGTACACATAATTCTGGTTTTTCAAAATGTATGGCTATTGCCTCGGCAATACAAAGAAGATGCAGTCTAATGGTCTTAGGAAGGCTTCTACTTACCTTGTAGATGACCTTGAACGCAGAGTCTGTCTTGATTGAGTGACCTGTGTTCACAAGGTGTTCGATTATAGAACTTCTTATTGAGCCGCTGCCTCCCCTTCTTAACCACGCCGGACAATGTTCTTGAATTCTTTTGGATAAAGTACGCATCGAACGACCTATATATCTAGCTCCACAAGAGCAGGTAAATTGGTAAATGCACATTGAGTTGGTCAGATGCGATAATTTATCTTTCAGATTATTGGTGAACAGTGATCGGCTGGAGAATAATATTCGCAATGTTGCTGCGAAAAATGTTCTTTTTAGAGAATCTGAAATTCTCCTCTTTAAGATATATGCGGCTCT